CCTTTATTAACTCTCACTTCGATAGAACTTTCCCTTTTGTCAAATATATGCTTGGCGAATAGCAATTCACCCGAGATTTTATGTAATTCAGAAAAAAAGCGATGAAAACTTGACGTTGAAATTAAAATTTATGCGAGCTGTTATTACCCACGGAGTTCGCTGAATAATTCATTTAATTACCCTTTTTTTTTCTCCCATTGATTAATCAAATAATAAATGAAAAGATCATTGAACCATAACTTTTGTAAAATATAAAAGTTGTACCAGTAGTAAAAACGAATGAAGGCAAAAAAATAAAGAGTAAATCCAGGCCAGTTTAACTAGTTTGATTCTTGTCAATCGCAGCAGTCTTCTCTTCTGTTGAAATACCAATGATTCGCCAAGGGATTCCTTTCTACGAGAAATTTTTTGCTAATATTCATTGATTGATCTCTCGCAAAAACTCGGATCGACGAATGATTAAACGAATTTCCTTTAGGACCGTGAATAAATATCTGCCAGTCTATTGAGGTCGAATATGGATATACTTTTTTTTAATCCACGGGAATGAGAAAACGCATAAGCATATTAATGTACGACTGAACATTTTATATAATTTGATAAATAAATGAAATTCTCCGTCCACACCTATATTTCGAATTTATATATTTTTTAATCCATTGTACGTCATTTTATGCTTCATTTACGAGTAGAAAGTACACGGAGAAGTTGTCGTGGTTCTCAAGCAGTATAGATTCCTGGTAAAGCAATTATTTAATACATATAATATGGTATTAGAGTCGATTTCAGAATTGGCTTCCTGTCGCGCACAGCTACGATACTCCATCACAATGCATAAACTACTTCCATTTCTCCGCTGCTTATGCACCACCACCATAAATGCGAACGCGAACGAACGAACGTAAACGCTAAATCCTTGAACGTCGCTCAGCGTATAGTCTACATATAAGTCAGCACGACGAGCAGTGCGTATGCATCTCATCTTACTGACCAGCAGCAACGTTATTATCATAAACGACAAGCCCATCCGCGTAATCTATATACGCACACGGCGCGTTTCAAATTCCTGCCGCAAGATTTCGCTCGTCCCATGCACATGAAAGTCTCTCTCTCTCTCTCTCTCTCTCTCTCTCTCTCTCTCTCTTACTCACTCTTTCTCTCGCTTCGTCAATGCTCGAACGCGCGTAGCGAGTGTAAAAAAAAATCACCACAAACAAAGTATGTATGCGAGGTAATTATGTAGCTATGCAAGAACGCCAAGTACGCGCGTGTGTGTAAGTGTTTCGCTGCTGCTGCTCTCGCTTTGCAGCTTCAATGCAACTCCCGATACCCAGCAGCAGCCTCGTGCGCTGCTGCTGCGTATATTTATGTGATCCATATAGATTACGAGAGCAGTAGCAGGCGGCGACGTTGCAGCAGCTCTCGCTGCACTTATTTTGCGCTCTTTCGCTCGATTTTTCATTCATGCCTGCTACTGATGCAGCTACGGAGCTGGGAGAATTCGATGAAAGCATACCGATAAGCGAATGAGAGCTTCTTTATTGTATACCGGCCTTTTCAATGCATATAGAGTTTAAATTCAGCTTTTGAGAATTTTCGCGAATATTATAATTAATTTAATTGAGAGAGCAAAAATAGCTTCTCTGCTTTTTCGTTTGGAAACTAATTTGTACTTCTCGTTCGATATCGCGCGCGCCCAAAGCGATGATTTGTATAAAGGCAATATCTTTCAACGGCCTTATTGTAGTTCTAAAAATATAGTTGGAAAGTTTATCTCTTGGCCAGGTAATTAATCAATTTTTCAATTTCAATTCACGCTCGAGAGATAAACAATTGATTTTCAATCAAACCGATTGAAATATCGTATCTTCGCTCTTTTTTAATTAAATTTCGAAAATATACCCGGAGCTTATCCGAGTATATAGAATATAGGTAGATTACTTTTGAATCTAATATTTTCATCGTCTAGACTCTGGCCGATTTTCCGTTGTTGCTGTATACGTGGAATATAATTCAAGCTCAGGAATAGACCTTTTCATAAAGTCCCTGATAAAAAGCCAAGTAAGTTTGCCGAGCTCAGCCAAGCACAAATTGCACGTCTCGGATTTCATCGTACACAAATTAATTAGGTTTTTCTTGTAAAAGTCGTAAATATGTTTTCTTTTTTAATCATTCGCCCGCGACTTGATTACTTTTTGTATCGTCGATAAAAAAAAAAAAAGAAGAAAAAACGCTTTCGAGTTAATTTAGCCAGAGTTTTCGGTGGATATCTATTACCCGAGAGAGGGTCTAACTCTGGGTTGCTGACCGGCGTGGCGCGCGCACGCCTCGAGACTCGTGCCGTACCGCCGCGTGAAAGAGTCGAGTCGACGAATCGCCGAGCTGTGCACACAGCAGCAGCAGTCTCGAATAGCAGCATAAGCCGTCGCTGCTGCTGCTGCTCCACTCGAGTGCACGAGCACCGCTTTGACATTGACCAATGCATTGTGTCGCGTTATATTACTGGTATACTCGCAGCTTCCTGCGCGGCGACGACGACGACGACGACGTCGACGTGTGTGTGCTTTATAAGCTCTCGCTCTCTCTACACTAATGCGCACTTAGACCTTCTCGCCGTCTGTTGACATTAGCCGTATACGCTGCACAGCGCGGCACCTTGGACTGGCTCCTTCCTCTTTGTAGCAACAATAATGATGATAATAATATCAATAAAGTAAATAATAATGATCGCGACGATCGGGATAAAAAGTATAATATTGGCTTTTTTGCTTAAAAGCTCCGTGAAATTGTTTTTATGAGCAAAGCGCTCTGTACATCGTACATAGCGTAAATACGATTTGAAAAGAAGCCGAGTTTGATTTGAACGATAAAAGGTCGGAAGCTTATACGTGATGTGCATACGGATGCAGCCTATAGTGTTGTACTAGTATTATAGCTCGAAAGTTGGCATCGGATATCGATCGTCGAGTTGTGCCGGCTCGTCGACGTCGTCGTTGTTTTTTTTTTTTTTGCAACGCGCCTATAATAGGCATCATGGTGTGTACCTCTCGGTGTGTATTATACGTACGTCTTCGTATGGTATAAGTCGTCGAATGCACGAAGGCACGCAGGGGGACTTTCGTAATCGCTTTATCTAGATGTATATACGTATATATACTCTTTCATCGCTGCGACACGCGCTTTTTTTTACAACAAACTCACGACGCTGCAGTACGAGTATATAGGTAAGCTCGACTCCGTGCGATGAGCCAACTATCGAAGAGGTAAACAACCTGTTGTAATGCGTATATGTTTCAGGTATATACGCGAGTTCCATCCGTCGAGTGTCATTTTTACCGTTTTCAGAATTAAGAAACATTTTTAAGCGCTTTGAAAAAAAACTATTTATAGCGTCGACGATTATAAGCGTGATTTCGTCGAATCAGCGTGTATCCTGCACGAGCTACTATTATAGGCGCTCACGCGCAGGGGTCACGGCTAATTCGCGTTCGTCGTAATGCCGTATAATCCGCGCGCGCACGCTGGCGAACATCAATTTAATTTTTACGCGCCGCTCATTATGCATTGATGATTCATACGAGCTACTAATATACGCGGGGCTTCTGTTTGGCCACTGCTTCGACTACGTATAAATACGCATACATCCGCCTTTCTCGGGATTATTTTTCGACATTTTACAAAAAACGAGCAGCCTCGTCACATCGTACATAGAAAAAAAAAGCATCCGTGATTATAATCGCTCGAGGTGCTGCTGCAGCGTTAAGGCACTATACAATTCGCGCTCAGAGCTTTCGGAGCTAGAGCCGATGGCATCACAAGCGCTACTCAGCCGCTAAATGGCTTTGATTCGCCGTTCGCTAGCTAGCACACATAATAGCATGTGCACGCGGCATGTGTCTGTGCACGTCTCGTCACATCAAGGATTACGTAACTATTATACCGCTCTCTGCTCTCTGTAGTGCTGTGCACGGCCGGATGTAAGCACGTATCGGCGGCGGCTGCGACGTTTTTTTTTGCCCCGCGATTTTTTTCTCGCTCCGTCTCGTATCTGTATCTCGTGCTCGCTCCGTGCGTATACATAATCGTGTGCATATATGTGTGCATGTGCTGCACTTGCACCTTTGACAGTGGTGTATTATATACATTGCCTGTCCTGCGTGCGAAGTAGAAGCGAGCCGCGCGGCGAACTGACCTGAGAATCCGAAGGTCAATCGATAAACTCGAGGCTGCGTCTATTGTGAATTATTTCATTTTAAAGAGCGACGCGAGGATAATGACGATAATACATAATAGCATCAAAGAATTCTTATTCAAGCGATTCGCTGGAAACACCATTGACTAAGCGAAAGATCGTAAAGCTCGTCGATCCAATTCGTTTTAGAGTCTCGTTAATGTAGATCTGAAAAACTAGGGACAGATTGTGTAAATAGACGTAAAAATTGTATAAACGCGTGTCTTCTGTCGCTCGCGAGGGAAAATAAAGCTGAGCCGCGGTCACGAGTGTCTGCTGCGGCTCGGCACGACGTAGTATAATATTATAAAAAACACATTTCCATTTACGATGTGGACCAGTTCAAGGCCGCTGGAAGATATAAACTCTCTGCACGCAATACACGACCAACTGCATGCACTGCGAGAAAGAGAACGAGGCTCGATTTTTTCTCTCTTCCATTTCTCGTGAAATGTTTTGGATTCGTTTTTATTACTTTACCGAAATCGGTATCAGTACGTATAAGGTATACTCTTTCATGCCGCTGCGTAGTGATAATCTGCCGCACCCGATCGTATATGCGTTTCGCACGAGTGCTGCGTTGATATACGCACTTAAGACGTATAAATTCGTGGCGGCACACCTTCTCGGTATTCCCAACTCGAAACGGAAGTATCGAAATAATTTACCGTAAATAAGTACGATCAAACGATTAAACCGCGATGAATTAACTTTGCAATTTAGTACTAATGAACAAATAAAATAAATGTCATTTTGTGCTTTTTTCCAGAACTCGTTCGGCCATCCGGAAATCGTAGCCGCCGAGACCCTGCAGAACTACGAACGCTGCAACTTCTCGTTCGTCCATCAGGTGTTCCAGGCGCAGTTCCGCTCGAGCCTCACCTGTCCGCGATGTCAGAAGCAATCCAACACGTTCGATCCGTTTTTATGCGTCTCGGTGCCGGTGCCCCAGAGCCAGAAGCTCATGAGCCTGTACGTCAATGTGCTGTACACGTCGCAGCAGCCGCGACAGGTCAAAATCGGCGTGAGCGTCGCCCAGACGGCCAATGTCAAGGAGCTGCGCGGCATACTGGCCAGCGACACGGGCATCGACGAGAATCACATGCTCCTCACCGAGGTCCACGACGAAGGTTTTCACCGGTAAGTGCCAGACCATCATCGCGTAGTTAGCTGTATTTAGTAATAACTGCACCGCTTACTTAACCAACCACTTGACTGTTTTCGCGGAAATATACAAATGCAATTCGCGCGGACGTTGACAAAATAATGTGACGACGATTCAATTGTTGACGACGAGAACGGCCTTGACGGAAGAGGACAGAAGACGGAAGATTACCCGAAAAGTGCAGCGTCTCTCACGACTCAACACGGACGAACAGACATTCGCTCTCGACAAATCAATAATCGACACGAAATGTTCATTATAGACCGGCGTCGTCGTTTAGATTTTTCAAGTGTCTCGCGCTGCAGCTTTTGTTGACATGCAGTAGATAAAGATTAATTTCGTGTCATATCAATTTCATTGAGCACGACTTGATTCGCTCGTTTCTCGTTCCTCGACTTTGGCGCGCGCGAATCGAATCGCGAAACGAAATTGCGTTACTCGTTGGTTTTCTAATTTTTTCGTCACAGCATCGTGATTATAGAAAGCCAACGATTCTTTTCGGGGCTTTGGTGTCGGAGCAACCAAATTACGCAAATCGCAATAACTCGCGCGTAAATATACCTATTTACACGCTCTCGATGATCCGCGCGCGAAACAACAAAAATGTGTGTAATTTTTCGGTATCCAATTACATACATTATTCGCGCTCGTTTCTAAATTATTGCCTCGATGAGCTGCTAAAACTCGACGAAAATCTCCTAGCCAAACGGCAAAAAAAAACAACAGGTGCTAAGCATTACGATATGACTTATGTCTCGCTGTTAAATTGCCAACGCCGTCGTGCGTCGTTAAAATAAAACACTATTACAACTCGCGCGTCGTTTTTGTAATAAAGTCGCGCGTTCGCTACTGCAGCAGCAGCAGCATCCTGCTCGACATACGTTGCAGTGCATGTTTTTCTTGGTTTAAATACGCCGCTGCTGCATCTCTGGCACGCACAAAACTCGTAGCGATGCGAGAGAGCGTGAGTCATGCAGACATTTTTCTATACAAGTATCGACAGCTCGCACACTCACTCACTCGCTTACTTGGCTCAAACCGATGATTCAGAATCTCAGCTTTTTTTTATTATCATAAATAAAATAATGAGCTTATATTCCGCAATTGTATTTTCACCGCATGTAATATTGTACTGATGTTCTTCGTCTACGATCGTCGTCGCACCGCACACACTGCGATATGCGTGATTTGTGAAGACTCGATATGCCCCACAGAACGTTCTCCGACTGCCAGCCGCTCTCGGTCATCACGGAAAACGACCCGCTCTACTGCGTCGAGCTGCCCCAGCTCAAGGAGCCCTCGGATCAGGCCTACGTGCTGCTCGTCTGGATCAACGTCCTCGTCAAGGGCGACCTGAGGCAGCGCTTCGGCAGCCCCTACACGATGCAGGTGTCGCGCGAGACTTCCTACGTGGATCTGCAGAAGCTCCTGCTCAAGGAGATGCACACGACCCTGGTGGACGACGTGCTCACCAGCGGCCAGGAGCCCGGCCTGTTCAACATCAGGGTGGCTGATCCGGCCTCGACCCCGGCCCAGGACGAGCACCCCTGCATCGATCCGGGCGTCGAGCATCCGCTGTACACGGAGCAAATCGAGCAGGCACTGGCGCTGTGCGCCGACGACTCGGGCCCGGCCCACGTCAAGCTCATCCTCGAGTGGGACGAGTCCACCAAAGACATGATCATACACGACGACAGCGATCAGGTCGAGGAGCACGCCAGCGTCAAGCAACTCAAAAACAGCGTCGAGTCCGGTTCGTATTTACTCTGCTCTTTTTTCCCGCTCGCTCCTGTTTATCGGCATTTCATCGTGTTTACTTATTTTTTCATCTTCTTTTTTCCGCAGGCGGTACGGTTACGCTGGAGGAATGCTTCGATCTTTACACGCGAGAGGAAACTCTGGGCGTCGAGGACGCCTGGCACTGTCCCTACTGCAATCGCAAGCAGGAAGTCGTGAAGAAGCTCGGACTGTGGTCGCTGCCCGACATCCTCGTCATACATCTCAAGCGCTTCCGGCAGCAGTCCAAGCAGCGAGCGACTTCCAAGCTGACGATGCTCGTTGATTTTCCGCTCTACGGATTCGACATGACGCCGCACTTGGCTCGCAACGGCGTGCAGTCCCAATCGATACCGCTGCCGAGCCACCACACGGTGAGCAACGGAAACGGCCTGGGCACACTGGGCTGGTCGCCCTGGAAGAAACCGAGGGCGCGCCCCAACAATCTGCACAAGTACGACGAGACCGTTTATGATCTCTACGCCATTTGCAATCATCATGGACAGGATTTGCAGGTAAATATTGAGGATCGAGTTTTTGAAAAACAAATATACAAGAGTTTGGCGGAGATTAAACGTGTATTTTTTATTCAAAGGGTGGACACTATACAGCATACTGTCGAAATCCATACGATACCCAGTGGTACTGCTTCGACGACACGCGAGTAGAGGCTGTGAACGAAACGAATCTCGTTACCAATTCGGCTTACATGCTGTTTTATCAGCGACAGAGTCTGAGCAGCAAGCCTTCGACGGCTACGTCTTCGGCGGCCTCAACCTCTTCCGCGGGCTCCGGCGTGGATCACTGGGTCTCGAAAATGCCGCCCTTCCATTACCGAAGCAACAGCAGCAACAACAAAACCGTCCCCGCGACGATCACTACTCAGCCCACCAATGAGCAGACCAACAATCTCTCGAGTAACAAGCTGAGCAAGAGTCAGGAGGCCTTGAACCAGGACAAAACTGTCGCCGAAAAGAATGCCAACAACTTCAACAGGGGCAGCAGAAATTATTCGACGTTACAGCCACCCAAGAGGAGAGATACTCTGAATATGGCTGATGAAGAGACGACAAAGACTACCGATAACGACACGATAGAAACGAACGGCAGAGTCGAATGGGTGAGCAACAGGTTTGACCAGAAAAACTTTCATTTTACAACGACTCTATTTTACTGAATCGTTTTTATTAGATACATATCAAAGTCATGTTGAACGATGATTTAATAGTTTTCAGTAAAATTGAAAAAGTAAAATTGATAGTTGAATACTATTTAATTTGGAAACTCATTGCCACTTTTTATACTTGCAGACAAACTCAGAATCGCCGAAAACATCATCGCCAAGTGCGCTAACAACTCAAATACAAATGTCAGTGGCAAAGACTACAATAGGAGACATCGACGATTCAGAGCAGGATTCAACGATATTGCATGAATCAACATTGTAATAAGTTCGATGAAAATGATGCATCGCAGCCATTTGGCTCAATTATTACTGTGCCTGCTTTCTAAACTTGGAAACTGTGCCTGCAATTGCGTTGTATATAAAACGAACATTACTCGACTAAATTCACTCAAAACGAGATCGTACGTTGACGACTATATAGCTTGGGACTTTGTTACTGATACATTTAAGATCTTTCTAGCCCCCTTGTCAACAAACTAACGTACCAACAAAAAATATCATTTATTGTATTGTATACAAGATTTTTGCCAACGCGAGTTTTTTGTCAAAGAAAAAACACAATAAATGTAGATATTTGGATTATCACTTGATCATAGTTATGTGTTTTGTCGATATTAGAATCATCAAAAACTGTGGTTCGATATTATTATATTTGTAATCTATGTAAAAAAGAGAACTGAAAAGTGCAACATGTTGATTTTGAATAAATTGACAATATAGTCGTTGTTTTAAGCTTGACCGATAGTTGTCTACTGTATAAAAAATATTTAAAGAAATGCAATCGATGATTTCTTTATAAATTAAAATCTTATTATTATAGCACGAAAATTATTCTTGTGAACTGTACGCTTGGTTTTGAAATGAAAATTATTGTCTACTATGTGATAACTCTGAAGCAGGCTTTATTATCTCTTAACTACAAAGTGAACTTCTGACCAGATCAAGTTCAAGGAAATTTTTATTCGCGAAAAGTCCATGAAGTTATGAAAAATGTGATATGGAATTACGAATAAAAAGTTTGTAAGATTTAAAAGTAATACTGAAGATAACTTTGAAAGTTCTCAAGTCCTGATTTTTATTTTGAATTATATAAATAAAAGTTAAGTAGAGAATGAATGAGATAAAACAATAGAATTTATATCTGAGGTATTATTATTAATTATAAGCATAAATATTTATAAGATATGTAACAGAGTTGCAATTTATTATTTTTAAGATTTATTGAAATAATCTTATGAAAAAACCTAAGTACAGTTTCTAAATTAGTTTAAGTAAATTATATAGCTTGATAATGAAGATTTTATATATAAATAATTCTGTGTGCGTGAGTGTCCAGCAATGATAAAGAACCAATAAACTATTTTAAATCACTCAAAATGTAATTGAGTTATGTTCGATATTATTGTCATCTTCGTTATTTCACATCAATTAAAATTATTTAAATTGTAGTAAAGTCGAAGGAAAATTTTGAGACAATAATGATTATTGTTCATTTTGATTTTCGTAAATTCAAGAAAATTACTTTCATTTGTAGTGAGAAAAATTCCTGCAAAGTGGTACGAGATTTTGAGGATTAACCAATGTTTGATTGCTCGTCAAATTGTTCTATTTATATCATACCTACTAGTGGCCTTAAATCTTCAGTAGACAATGATTGTAAATTCAATCAGTCCTTAAGATTAAAATTATACTTCATTTCGTTTATTGTAAAATTATGACTTTCATTTCAACTCCAAACCACTGTAAATAATGAGATATATAAACGTCAAATCTGAACTAGACCTTTGAATAATTTATAAATTAAGAAACTTTGATGAAATTTTTCACACTTTTCAACGGTTAATCGGTAAATAAACCTTATTGTATTCTGTGATATTTATCACGTAACATAATAACTCATACCAAAACACTCACTGCTTTTTGTAATTCACATCATTCCAGTGCTCCATTGGAGAAGAAAGTTTTTATGAATGAATGTGTAAAGTAAAAATTGTTTTAATAAACTGAAGTGAATTGTGTTAAAATTATTTATACAAAATAGAAGTGTTGAATAGTTGCGATGTTGTTATTCGAGGCAACGAAAAATTCATAACTGCACATTAAAATCCGAAACTAATGTAATCCCGAACACAAAAAAAACTCGAACGAACGCGATTTACTATAATAAGTGATGTATAATATTGTAAGAGAAAATACAATGAGACGTTTCTTTGTAAGAATATATTACAAAGCAGATTAAAAAATTGTTAAACAATCAAAAAACGAAAAAAATATAACTGCTTTACACGATTTGTATTCGAGTCTACCGACTGAAGAATGAGAAAATTGAATTTTCGATTAATTATCATTACATAGTTACTATCTATCATTATTCTTGCTAATGTTGAGTTTACATTGAAATAAATAAATTTTGTCATGTATCTCTGATTTGTATTTATCTAATGAAGCAATCTTTTACATTTTCATCGAGCGACTCGTTGGAGCAAACATTCGTCCTATTTTCAGTGATCTACTTGAAAAATCCGTTGAATCAATCACGTTCCAAATGTAGTTGAGCAAGGTGATAACTCCAATTCGATAATGATTCGTTTCGCGACAGACTGAAAGAAGAAGTAGGCAATTTTGTCGCACTCGCAGCATGAATTGTAATAAAAAAAAACAATCTCATTCGTGCACGATATACTGCAGGAAATGAAAAGAAATACATCGATAAACATCAAGAGTGAATGAAGTAAATGACTATCGTAATATTATGAAAGCCCTGAAAGTTTGTTTTTTGAAAATTGATTGATTCTATATCAAATATGCTGTAAGTATGCCACAATAGATAAGGATATAATACAGTATAAATGTTTTGAATCGTAATATATTTTATTCAATCAATAGGAGATCGAAGCAAAGATTATCGAATTCTCAGATAAGGAAGATAAAAGCTTTTAAGTTTGACGTTGACATCCAAATTCCGAACATCAAGTTTGTCTACATTCGATTTGGTTTCAATTTTTTGAACGTTCGATAGGTCGTCGCGCGCGGGTTGGTGAACCCGCAGGCCGCAGTCGCTTGCGAATTCGATTACTCGAATGTGGCGGGCATTCGAAGACCGCAAAAATAGTCGAAAGCGCAAAATGGCAGTTGCTCGGTGTGGCGCGCGGTGAAAGGCAAGTTGTATGGCGCGGGGCCCGCACGAGCGCTGCTGCCCTCGTCGCTCGCGGAGCTTCATAGCATTTAACACATAGCAGTAGTAGCAGCTGGCGATATATCTCGATTCTCTCTCACTCCGATCTCGAGGCCTCGAATCGTTGCCTGCGCCGCTCGTGTTTTGCGGCCTGCCGTGCCGATGATCGCGAGCGCAAAGAGCCCCCCCCCTCTTCCTTTAACGCAGAGTTCGCGCAGTGCAGAAGGAGCGAGAGAGAGAAAGAGAGAACGCGAGAGGCAGCAGCTCAGTCGAGCTCGGCTCTTCGTCGAGCGCTGAAACATCCATTGCGTTTAAGCCGTAAGTCATATTACATTCGCATACACGCCGGACGCGCCGCGCGGAGTGTCGACCAGACGACCGAACGACCACACACACACTCGCATACCCATTTATATATAACAATACAAACACGAAAAGTCAATTTCGGAGTTTCAGTTTTTTAGGGTTACTTCGAGCGTTGGCCTATGCTTCAACAACAAGCTTTGCTCGTTTACTACATGTACACACAGAAACGGTGTACCGAGAGCGAGTGAGAGAGACTCTGGGCAAAAGTCGACTTTCATGGTCGAATGTGCGCTCCGAAAGATACGCACGCAGGAGCCGACTACTATATCAGCATCGATTGATCGATTCTGCGAGCGTGTTGTGTGTAGTTGTCATACCGTGAGGCAATAGTGCGCGGATAGTATTGGTAGTAGTAGTACAATAAAAGCCGTGTGCTGCGTGCCGCGACTACTACGACGATTGTGCGCGCGCGTGTGTGTGTGCGCGCTATACCTGTACGTTTATATTAAAGAGACACTCTGGTGCCGAGTACATTGTATATAAATATATATACGTACACAGCACATTATAAGACAGGAGAGCAAGTGTTCAGTGCAGCACACCGCGAATTTCCACGTATGTGTGTGAGTGTGTTCGGAGTCCGAAGCAGCCGCAGCAGACGTTTACACGCGATGCGCTCCTACAAAAATATCTCGTATCGTCGTTATTTCATGTATCGCTTACACCGAGAGCAGCTCTGATATTATTATAGGCTGAGAAAATCTCTGCTGGCCGACTGCGCGACCGTACATACGCGTATGTAGCTTTCATACATACACGGTACCCAACATACTACATGTACGCGTACAACGACGCAGCATCGTCGCGGCTTTCATTATTATCAGCGGCATAAGAACGCGCGGACCCGGAAAAAAGGAGCGCAGCAACGTAGCAGTCCTCGTCGAATCTCAAGAAGGCGTGTATTATTTTACATAAACGAGTGAAAAGGCTGCATTCAGTGCGAGAGAGATTTGGTGCGCGTTCGTGAAATAAGTGAAATTTTTCGTTCCCTCGCCGTGGGTAGTTCTTCTTCTTCTGTTGTTGTTTTGTTTTTCTGGTTCTTGTTATTGTGTGTTGGTGCTATTTAATCATAATAATCGTGCTCGAAGCTCAGCTTCGGAGTTGTTGCGGCCGTGTCTATACGTGTCATCTTTGTCGAGAGTGACAGCATAGCTGCGGATGTAGCACGAAGTAAATATCAGCAACAGCAGTAGAACAAGAAAGAGATTATAGTAGAGAAGAGGAGAGGAGAGAAAGAACGATAGCAACAGCAACAACAACAATAAGAGCAACGAGGGCCCAGAGGGCGAGCAGAGCAGAGTCGATTCAAGACTCGCAATTATAGGCGCGAGGCTCCAACAGCCCCAAAGGTGAGTAATCGGTGCATTCCTTCGATGATGTCTTTCTTTGTGCACGCTCGTTGGCGATTATCAGTTTCAGGGAGAGGGTAATCGCGAGGCTTTGCCTTTCGTATCCTTTTTTACTCGAATAGTAGAGACCCCTTAGTCAGAGTCCTGCCTGTGGTTGGGCCCAAGTTTACCGAATGTGCTGCAGCCCGCATCACGGTTACTGGTTGCAGCGACGACAACGACAACAACAGCCCCGCAGCAGCAGCAGTAGCAGCGTGCGAGAGGGGTGTAGTTGGATGCAATGGGCGTGTGTGCCGTGGCCTCGCGCGTACATAGTGCCAAAAAGCAGGGTCGCGGGCGCGCGCGGGGTGGGTTTGTTGGTGGCTGTCGCGTGAGGCTAAAACTTGCAACGAAAATAGTGTCGTGCATGGTAGATACAACAGCAACTCGGACATTGTCGAGTTCAATGAGAGATACTGTCTTTATGAGTCAGAGTATAGATCTATTATCATGTATTTATAGGGGGTCGCTCTAGCTTCACGGTACCGAGGCGAGGGCGGTATAAGGTCTCTCTCTCTCTCTCTCTCTCTTTGCTGCTGTGCGACGTGCGTGCCATACTTATATATATATATATATATAGAAAAGCGGGATGTATGTAATATACCGGGCGGGCGGCAACCTATAGGCATCGCTGTGGCACGAGCAAGCACAAGCAGGCAGGCACCGGCAGCCGCCAGAGCGCCGGGGGATGAACGAACGCCGATCGATAGCGCGCGTCTCTGCTGCTGCTCTCCCTGCGCTCTGCTGCCTCCTCTCGCCCATGCCCGTGCCTACTTGCTTGTACACCTACACACACACGTGCACAAACGCACGTACACCATAAGGGTTGAGAGAATCGCGACGCTGGTGTGGTGCGCTTGCGCTTGCGCCGCGCGACAGCTTATACATACAGAGTTGTCAGTCACCCACTATACACTACCTATATATATATACTGTTATTATATATATAGAGCTACTCGCGGGGGGCAATCTCACCATTTCGAGTCACAACACGAGCTACGGCTGCAAGAGAAACGACGACGAGTCCTCGCTAGCGTTGATCCGTGTGCTGGTGCTGGTGCTGTGTGGCTGTGGTGTGCGTCACAGCCTATAGCGCGGATTACCATGATTTAAAATATTCATTTGCGGTGCCGCTGCTGCTCCGCATAGCTCTGCGCTAGTACAGTATAGAAGTAGCTAAAGAGCTCGATTACTCATTCATCGGAGACGCGGAGAGGCAGAGGAAAAAGTAATACTAACGCGTCTTAGAAAAACAAAACACTCGCGTGCGTTGACAGACGCACGCGGAAGTAGTCGGAGCAGTTGAGAAAACCCGAGCTTATAATATTATGATGAAAATTGACGAGCTATATGTAAAACGGAGAACGACGACTGATGCACGTCGTATTTATACGATTGACTTTATCGCTCGTTGCTGCCTGACATCCTCCGCACACACAAACGCGAGTCACAACAAACTCGATATACTCCGGCTCAATTGCCTTCCTTCTTCTTTTTCTCCCCCTTTTCTTTTTTATTTATTTTTCTCGTTTTATCAGCGAGAGAGAGAGAGACTCTGACGAAGCACAACAGTGCTATATTACACACGCGAGATGCAATAATCATCTCCGAACGACGCAGCACGCAAATCGACTCCGGATGTCGTGCCATATACCACCATGTGTGCGTGCGTTCGCTCTCGAGGAGAGCGACATTTTTATGGAATTACGCGAGAGCTTACATAGGTATACAGTTATTTCGACTCTGGCGGGGGCAGTTGGCCAAATATTTAATACATTCGGAGCCGGCATACAAAAACCCTAATTGGAATATTATTGCCGTATATAATAGCCACATTAAATACGTTTCTTTTCTGTGTTCCGTATACATGACTTGCTCTCGTGCTTCCTCATGGACGATGAAGACTCACTCACTCTCTCTCTTTCTTTCTCGCTCTCACTAACTTGCCACGCAGACGAACAAGAATGTCTCTCTCTCTCTCTTTTCTCCTTTTCCGCGTTCGGCGTTGTGTGACGCCTGGTGGTACATAATATAAGTAAATGCACGAGTAGAGGCTCGAAACGCCGAGATGAGCCGCTAGTAAGACGGAACCGGTCCGTCAGCCGCGCGTCATGTGCGTGTAAATCTCATAAGTATGCTTCGAACCGCCCGTGATTTTACTCAAGCGGACGTAGATTTTGGAGTCAATAATATATACACAATGCTGTACTCGTCGATCGAGCTCTCGAGCAAGCGGGCCACTTTTTTTTTATACATATGCATATCTCGTTGCTCGAAACTTCCATATCTCCGCTGTGCGATTTTATCGCGATTCTCTGGCCTCGCACGTTTACTTATCATTCGACGACTCTCACTGTCTTGATTGGGCAGCTATTATATCGTCGTAGCAGTTTACCCGTTGCCAAGATAAACCGGCCCCGCGTGTACAATGTTATTATTATATACACACGAAGCTGTATATATCGAGATCGGCTGTCTCTCGATCGCCCGATAACGTATATAGCAACATTTCCGTATAAATATTCGCACGTGTGTGCGACACCTACGTCGTTCTCTCTTTGCGACATACATTTATTCGTCGCAACGTTTACGCTGCATAACCCGTACAACATAATACACAATATGTCCCCAACATGTATACAATAATATATGCAACTCTCGAGTCTAACGCCTCCTGTCCATGGGTATTATGCAGCCAATTCGCTCTCGTTTGACTATACCCAATAATATGCGCTAATGATTTGACTGTGTGCACGCATGAACGCTCACGACGCGTCGCTTTCGCTTCAAAAGCTTCTCTCTCTCTGCTAATTTCATCCCCTGCACACGAGAAGATGCTTGCCCAACGACGACGACGACGATGAAACACGGGCAGAGCTATTTACACGGCTTCGCCCCCTCGATAGATGTACACACACACACGCTGTGTGCCTCTCGTTACACTTCTTGTAATCGCCTTACCTATGTATACGCGCCGCGTACAAAAATATCGCTGCTTCTACTGCTGCTGCTGTTTCTGTTTAGGATTACTTGGGAGCTGTAACATGCCGCCGTCGTCGTCGTTGACGCTAAATACGTCGATAATATATAATTTTGTGTCTTAAAAATTCAAAGCTCGAAGCTTTATATGCAAAGCCGGCGGATATCTTTATTAATACTTTTTTTTTGTCAAATTTTTCGCCTCGACGCAGGTCTTCGGCGAATTTTTTTCTTCTTTCTGTACAGTTTCGATTAACCTTGTGTCGTGCCAGACGTCGGTCGTCGTCCAACGGACCGTGTCATACACGCACGAGCTCATGCTATTCGATTCTCTGCAGCTTCGTAGTAAACGTATACACAAGGGAATGTTTCTTTTCAAAGTCATCGTCATGTTTTATATATATATACGACCAACGATTATCTGATATGATTTTCTATTTTTCCGTCGCTGCTTCTCGAGAGTCTTGACGCATATATTATATCTCGAACGAAAAAAGAGAGAAAAAAGAAGAACGAGACGGTCGCATTCATGCGTGCATCGACTCTCTACTCAGCTGCGTTGCGATAGCAGATGGCAGATTTTTCTTTCTTTCTCTCTTTTTCACTCTTTCTGTTTCTTTTACTTTTTATGTTAAACATTTCACTCGAGCGTCCAGTCGCGCGATTGATAAGGTTATTATGCCCGTTCTAAAAGTGCCAACTTGTACACTCTCGAGTGACTCGTCACGAAAGAAGCGAGCGGGAGAGAGAGAGAGTGAGACAGAGCCAGCTCGCCTTCTCTCTCTCAATTCTTTTGTCTCTTATCATTATAATTGAACGTAATCTTCTCTTTATATTGCATTGCTGAATTTTGAATTTCAGAGTCAGCGCGAATTAAGGAGCTAAGAGCGAGAGCGAGAGAAAGAAGCGCGACTAATCGCGAGATTGTCTTTGGCCTGAACTTTAATATATAACGCGCTTGCACTGCAGGCCTCTCTCGACGACGAGCGACGTTAATGGAATAAAAACAACATTTTTTCCCCTTAACGTCACCAACAGGCTCGCGTCGACGCTTTCTTGTTTGTTGCCAAGTATCATTTTCATCCGGCAATTTCACGTAGCACATTATAGTTTATAATACGCGAGCGCGCGCAAACGAGTGCATTCAACGAAACGTTATATGCGACGTTTGTGTCTGCGTGGACACTTTTTTTGTGTGGACTGTCGCGCGATTTATAGTTTATATAAAATGATGTTTATCAGCAGTAACTAATAATGTGAAATTTCAAAATCGTTCGCTTTCCTGCCATATTTGGTTACAATTAACCCTCCAAACTAAATATGACAGTGGATCGCGATTGTAGCGTTTAAATGAAGAAAAATTATCGATGAAGAAGAATTCGTCGAACTTCGACGAAGGAAACTTCAGGTTTATGCCACGTGCTTCTATTCATACATGCACACGCGCGAATTTGAATACACTTTTCAATAACGTCGAACTTTCCATTGCATTCGAGGAATTTTTCCACTAAATTTCTTGACCCAAATTCGGCCTAACATTAAGATATCTCCCATGCAGCAACGGTGAAAATTTTTTAATGCTTCATGAGAAAAAAATTTTTGTTCGTCGCTGACATGGGAAGAGAATTTGATGGATGGGTTTTAGCTCCGAATGAGTAAACCTTCTCTTCCGACAGCTCGGAAAGTAGACGGATAGTTTTTTGATTTTTGGTCTCGATCTTCATATTATACGTCGGGGAGATCTTTTTGAGTTTTTGCACGCGCGCCAGGTGTGGCGCAGAGAAAAAGAGCCCAAAAAGTTTCTCAGTTCAGTGACAGTGAGAAAGTTAGCATTGTCGGTCACATGATATATAGCTAACGTAATAATTTGCGAGCAGACCTCTTGAATTCTTCATCGTCAATACTACGGAGCAGTAATTTACTCTAAGATTTTTAACTCTTTACTTCGAAAATGTCAAGATGCTCTCGCAGGCGTCAAAGCT